AGGAATACAAAGTTGTCCTGGTTGCACCAAGACGTCATCACTTTGTACAGGCAACCCAACTCAGAATTGCCTATGGACACTTATCGGATTAACGTTCTGTACTCAGACCGTTTGTAATCACCTCTGGTATATGCAGGTGGTCGACAGCGTTCTGCCTCACCGTAAGAATACAAAGTTGTCCTGGTTGCACCAAGACGTCATCACTTTGTAAAGGCCACCCAACTGAGAAACGCCTTCTGAACTCTAATGGCGTGAAGGTGTTTACTCAGACCTCTGGTAACAACCTCTGTGAGGCTGGGAATTCCATCACACTGAAACAACACCACAAGCAGGCTCGGTACATTTGACTCGAGCTGAAGCTACTTCAACTGGACGTCACATGGACCGTAAATGTGATGGAGGTTTTGAGCTGCATCTAGAACTACTTTAACTTTAAATTTCCATTGCTAAAATACACAAAAATCGTATTAATATAAATGAGGAATGTTCGAATAAATTTCCTTTGGCAGTCTACTTTAAAAACATCAGAAGCTTTGTTATGTGGACACGAAAGATATATTGCTTCCAGGCTATCGGGAACTGTTTATGTTATGTTAGGTAAGACTTGCAAGACATAACCCCATATAATTCTCGAAAACCATTAGTCGAACAAGAAAACCAAAAACATTTTCCGGAACTATAACACAGTGGCGTACACAACTGCTATTTGTTCAAGATGTCAGCTTCAACTATTCTACATTGCTTGATGAACACCAAGACCAAACACTATAATAGATGACGGTGATGTGAATGATCTAAACACACCTTTGTCAGAGGATGAAACATATTTAGTAAAAAGACTAAAGCAGACAAATCACCTGGATCTGATGGAATCCAAAGAAAATTACTGAAAGAAACTAAGAACTGTATAACCCTCTACTTTAACTGTGTAATTTAATACAATGAATACACATTGCCATTTAGAAAGTTGTCAAATGTAACACATGTTATATTTGGGATTACACTTTCTTAGTAAAAGTGGAAGCCGCGGTGGCTGAGCGGGTTAGGTTAGACTTTGTGTGCTGGCCATTAGGAGCCTGACTCTGAGGGTGTGGGTTCGAATCCCGGATGGGACTCAACCCAACAGAAGTACTAGAATCTGTACTTTACTAGGAAAGGGTAATCCAAATATAACATGTGTTACATTCAATAAAATGTTTGACGTGGGGACATTTCCAAAACAGGAGGGAAAACGTATAAACTGTCCGCTTCACAAGAATGGCAAGATCCATGTCCCTGATACCTATATAGGGATATCCCTCGTAGAGTCTTGGTGTAAGACACATAGTTAAAAATTTGGTGTGACACTATATTTGTATGAAACTAAAGTCAAATTGTTCCGCTATAGATCAGATATATCGTAGCAAGCTATGATACAGAAATTTCTGTCTAAAACAAATGGAACGTTTTGTTGTATATTCATTGATTTTACAAAAAGCATTTGATAGCGTTAACCTTGAAGTTTTGTTCCAGAGTCTAATTAACATTGGGATGAGAGGTGCATTTATGAACTTTGTAGTGTTAATGTATTTAAACGTGTCAGTTTGTGTCCGAACAGAAAATGGACTAACAAATTACTTTTGACCCGTTGATATTTGTCATTTTCATAAATCAGTTATCTAGAATTTTTGTTAAAAATGGCAGAAAGGTATAGTCATCACAATTGCCTCGTGCGGCAGCTCTGTTTTAGACTAACAACTAGTCTCTGAAATGAACATATTTTACAGAAAAAGCAGTTCGTAATAAAAATAATAAAATATAATGAAAAGCAGCCATTTCTTCATTTTCAACTGTGGAAATCGAGACTTGCTACATATTCCAGAAGTGCATGGGCTTTCTTGGGTATATTTGTTTCAGGGTCTGTATGACAGACTACTATTTTTTTGCAGACGATGTTTCAGGGGTATCTTATACTACAGATCAGTTACGAAAAATGATAGATACAGTACTGGTATGAACATATATTTGAGCAAATAAAAAATAATGGTATCCCGTAAAGGCATTTCGTCATTAGGTGGTAGTTCAAGGGGAAAGAAAAGACTTTGATATTTTTCATATATTTTGGTTTTGTTCACACCTACACTTTCTTGGACCAAGAGACAGTGTTGTTTACTCCACAAGCTCCTAAGGTCTGTATGTTACTGGATAACCATCAAAAGACATTTGGAGACATTTCATATTTAAAATATGCTTAAAGCCTTTGATACAGCCTTGGATAACCATCAAAAGACATTTGGAGACATTTCAGGTACAAATATGCTTAAAGCCTTTGATACAGCAATTGTACCTATACATTGTTATGGGCAGAGGTTTGGGGAACAACCCGTTGTAAATTACTAGTAATTGAAAATGTTCATGCATATTTTTGTAAAAGGTTTCTTAAGTAAATATACTAATAGTGTTATGGCACAGAGGCACCTTATCTCAGTGGGGCAGGCCTGACAAGTACATACGCTTGCATGGACGTCGCTATATAATAGCAATGATCATGTACGCAACGTTAATACCATATCAGCGAACCTCACCGTCATCAATACCGATTGACAAACTTACGGTCAATTTGAGTCATTATCACATTCATTCAATAGGTCTCAGTAAATACCTCCAAGCATATTAAATTACTGTATGTTCTCTTGGGGGTTATCGTTCGTAACAGATGACTGATTATATGTTTTATATTCGTGTTTTGTAAATAAATCAATATCACAAGTACTCTATCAATGTGATTATATGAATAAAACTGCAGCAATCAGAATTCAAATGAATTCGGGGAATATTCGTATGAATTACATTATTGTTGTTGTTTTACGTTCCCATGAGGGTGATGGAGTTTCAAGGTTTTCAGTTGCTGATGTTGCACTGGCTGCACCCTCGATTATCCATTGTATCATATCTCCATGTATAACCGGTACCCATTTGCCAACATGGCTTCGTTTCGTAAGTGACGCAAGTAAGGAAATGAAGATGAACTTAAGTCTTCTTAATATCTACCAAGTCATTTAACAACCGTTTTGTGAAACAACAGACAAGCAAACATCTATAAGGACACCTTGCATTTTACTAGGAATATTTGATATTTTATGTCTGCATAAGCAGTTGTATCTCTATGTTGCTCTCAAGTAGATTTTAATGTGTTTATATATAGTACTTAGTAATTTCATTTCAATGCAAAGTAGCTGGTAATATCCAATTTTCACTTGAAGAAACCCAGCATGAATGTAGTTCTGTGAGTGAGTTGGTGTGACGCTGCTTTGAACAGCATTTCAGTGCCCGGTCTGTTTAATGGTGGAGGAAAACCCAAATTAATGCAGATATTGTACGGTTAACACGGACACCTTCCTGAAAACATGCTCAGAGTCAAGCGGGATTCGACTCGCGATCATAGGTTTCTGGCATGTCGAAGCAAAGCAAAAGCTATTTATGGCTCTAAACACGACTAGGTCACTTGTCAAAGGTAGTTTGTTGTTTAACGCCGCACTCAGCAATATTCCAGAATATTGTGGCGGTCTGTAAATAATCGAGTCTGGACCAGACAATCCAGTGATCACCATCATGACCATCGTTCAACGCACATTGGGATACGATGGCTTATGTCAACCAAGTCAGTGTGCCTGAGGGCGGTGGGGTAGCCTAGTGGTTAAAGCGTTGGCTCGTCACGCCGAAGACCCGGGTTCGAATCCCCACATGGGTACATGTGTGAAGCCCATTTCTGGTGTCCCCCGCCGTGATGTTGCTGGAATATTGCTAAAAGCGGCGTAAAACCAAAACTCAGTCAGTCAGTCAGTGTGCTCGACCACCCGATCCCGTTAGCCACCTCTTGCGACAGGCATGGGTTTCTTAAGATTAATTCTACCCGGATGTTCACGGGTTCGTTACAAATAAACACAAAACCTCTTTTGTTCCATTCTCGATAATCTCCAGGGCATACGTGACGACAGTGGAGAGTGATCGTGACGTATACCCTGGAGATTATCGAGGACGCTCTTGTTCGTGAGTGTAAACACTGAATTATCAAGATTACACTACATGGTGTAAGCTGCTTTCCGTTTGGTTTAAAGTATTCTAAGTATAACACTATTTCGATATTTATGGTTTTGTAGTTTTAAGCTTATACATCATACTAGTTACCCAATTTGTAGGTACACCGTGTAGGTACGGGTTTGAATCCATCCTTGTTATACTAGGCGACCTATTTAATCGGGTGGTCCGGCTAACTGACATAGTTTATGTTATAGTTGACATAAATAGTCAAGTCATTTAATGGTTAATCATTGTCAAGTCGTTTTATTGTTGACCGTCGTCAAGTCTTTTGACGGTTAGCCGTCGTCCGGTTGTTTAACGGTTAACCGTCGTCAAGTCGTTATATTGTTGACCGTTGTCAAGTCGTTTTATGGCTAACCGTTGTCAAGTCGTTTAACGGTTAACCATCAAGTCGTTTCATGGTTGACCATCGTCAGGTCGTTTATGGTTATCCATCAAGTCGTTTCATGGTTGACCATCGTCAAGTCGTTTAACGGTTAACCATCAAGTCGTTTCATGGTTGACCATCGTCAAGTCGTTTATGGTTAACCGTCGGGAAGAGATTAACAGTTAAATTGTTGTTAAGAGATTTTTAGAATTGTAATACATTCTACATTTGTAAGAAATGAAACCTTTGAACGTTACATTCACTGGAGGAAAATATTTTTTTAAAAATAGACAGCAGTAGTACTCCTGTCGTGCGACTGCTGTAAAAAAATAGTGTCACACTAAAAATTCACTTGACAAATTAGTGGTACTCACAAGCGGCGTTTTTGTGTAACGATAACATGGGAGACTACAAAGTTACTCTAGTAATATTTACACTGTCATTGAAACCAAAGCAATGTGTCCATAAAGCTGAATAACGCTAACATGTTGTCGATGATGAAAGTGAATATCGAACACATTTCATCCTTTCATCTATTTTGCTTCCATTGCAGATCTTTGTCGGACTCAGCAGCCACGGTTCGCCGAGACAACAGACCCATTATTCTGCGTCTCAGCTAGCGTTATGAATGGAAACAATATCAAGTCACGACAAAACTGAAACGACAATCCCATCAATACATTTTAGATGAGCATACGTAAAAACCTTGACATTTGTTTAGTTTGTCAGAGAAACAACTTTGAAAAGAAATATCAGTTATCTTTTAAATTAGCTCTCAGAGCCTGGGGATATACTGACAGGGCGACCTTGCGGCTTGTCTCGTCACGGTCCAACCAGATCGATGTCATTCCAGAGATGCTGAGAGGGTTACGGCAGGTAGCGAACCTATGATTGGCACAAAGATGACGTTCTAGTCAATGGTACAGAACCTCAGTCTCTCAAACAGTCTGAATGTGATCAACAAACAATAGATTTTCTAAAGTGTTGTTGAACGTTTTACTTGGCACCAAGTTTCCACCGAAGTTGAACTTTCAAAATGTCGTCCATTCCGCCTTGCCCATTGGTCCTCCTGTTATTGTGTTTGGCCAATCATGCGAAAGGAGACGGTCTAGGTTTACGTCAGGGTCAGTTTGACAACAAGCTGATGACGACCTACTTGATTGACCGTTTCACCGGTGCCTTCAGTCTGACGTGGTGCGCCGTCAAGTGTTACAACGATCCCAAGTGTGGGTCATTCTTCTACAGCAAGGGAGATAAGGTGTGCCAGCTTCACTCCGTCTTGTTTATCACGCCTGGAGACGCAACATCTCATCATGGATTTTGGTATTTCAAGATGACGGAAGGTAATAAAGAAACACCCATATTCACATCGAGAAGCCTTGCTACAGCACTGTTCCCACCTGGCGTTTCCCAAGGCATTTTTAGAAGTGCGCAGCGCCCTCCCCTTTTTATTTGACGCCTGTCCTTTTTTATTTGGCGCCCTGCCCTTTTTATTTGGCACCCTCCCTTTTTTATTTGGCGAGCTCCCTTTTTATCTGGCGCCCTGCCCTATTTATCTGGCGCCCTCTCCATTTTAAGTGGCACCCTGTCCTTTTTATTTGGTGCCCTGTCCTTTTTATTTGGGGCCCTGGCCTTTTAATTTGGCTCCCCTATTATTTGGCGCCCTCCTTTTTTTTATATGGTGCCCTCTCCGTTTTATGTGGTGCCCGCCCTGTCCTTTTTATTTGGTGGCCTGTCCTTTTTATTCCCCCCTCCCCTATTTATGTGCCCCCCCCTTTTTGCGCCCTCTCCTTCTTATTTGGCGCCCTGTCCTTTTATTGGGCTTCCTTTATATTTGGCGCCCTGTCCTTTTTATTTGGTTCCCCTTTTTGTTTGCCCCACTCCCCTTTTAATTTGGCGCCCTCCCCTTTTTATTTGGCGCCCTGTCCTTTTTTTGGGATCTTGGCTCCCTTTTTTATTTAAACATGGTGAGGGTACATAGCATTCATAGCGGCTTTCTGCAATACAACTTGTTGACTTCATTTACGCACCGAGTGATGTTTTATGTGAGTAATACACCTGTTCATCGTGCCACTGTACGTGTCACTGAAGTCATATTCACCTCGTATTAATTTGAAAAGGTTAATGTTCTGAATGAACCAGCGTATGAACAATAGGGCAAAATGAAGTAAACACCCATGTTTACTGTCCAGAATGAAACAAACAAAATTTTATTCAGTACTGATGCAGAGCTAGTCATTTCGCATGTGTGTATACTATAAGGGGTGTGTTTAGCTTTGCTTCAACACCACTGGGGCGTTGGGTTAGCCTGGCGGGTAAAGCGGTTCGCTCAATACGCCGAGGACGAGGGTTCGATTCCCCACATGGGTACAGTGTGTGGAGCCCATTTCTGGTGTACCCCGATTAGTTGGTCAACTACAAATATCTGTGAGTAGTGTCGGGGGTCACAGACCAATCCGAATATTTTGTATGCTTGACTAAATTCAGTCACAATACTAAACACGTTTGGCAAAAGGAAATGTGAAAAGGTTCCGGTGCCTATAAGATTCAGAAAGCTAACGAAGTATGTGATATGATCAGCACGGTGAAGTTTTTTCATCACATCAGGTATCGATGATGTCATTTCACGGATATACGCGTCATACTCAACTTCCCATCAACATCCTCACAACTTTCACATTTGGTGATATATCCCTGCCCCTCTGCTTCACATTTGGTGATATATCCCGGCCCCTCTGCTTCACATTTGGTGATATATCCCGACCCATCTGCTTCACATTTGGTGATATATCCCGGCCCTTCTGCTTCACATTGGGTGATATATCCCGGCCCCTCTGCTTGACATTTGGTGATATATCCCGGCCCCTCTGCTTCACATTTGGTGATATATCCGGGCCCCTCTGCTTGACATTTGGTGATATATCCCGGCCCCTCTGCTTGACATTTGGTGATATATCCGGGCCCCTCTGCTTGACATTTGGTGATATATCCTGCCCATCTGCTTCACATTTGGTGATATATCCCGCCCCTCTGCTTCACATTTGGTGATATATCCCGGCCCTCTGCTTGACATTTGGTGATATATCCCGACCCATCTGCTTCACATTTGGTGATATATCCCGGCCCCTCTGCTTGACATTTGGTGATATATCCCGGCCCATCTGCTTCACATTTGGTGATATATCCCGGCCCCTCTGCTTGACATTTGGTGATATATCCCGACCCATCTGCTTCACATTTGGTGATATATCCCGGCCCCTCTGCTTGACATTTGGTGATATATCCCGGCCCTTCTGCTTCACATTTGGTGATATATCCCTGCCCCTCTGCTTGACATTTGGTGATATATCCCGGCCCCTCTGCTTCACATTTGGTGATATATCCCGACCCATCTGCTTCACATTTGGTGATATATCCCGGCACCTCTGCTTCACATTTGGTGATATATCCCTGCCCATCTGCTTGACATTTGGTGATATATCCCGGCCCCTCTGCTTGACATTTGGTGATATATCCCGGCCCATCTGCTTCACATTTGGTGATATATCCCGGCCCCTCTGCTTGACATTTGGTGATATATCCCGGCCCCTCTGCTTGACATTTGGTGATATATCCCGGCCCTCTGCTTGACATTTGGTGATATATCCCGACCCATCTGCTTCACATTTGGTGATATATCCTGCCCTCTGCTTGACATTTGGTGATATATCCCGGCCCTCTGCTTCACATTTGGTGATATATCCCTGCCCCTCTGCTTGACATTTGGTGATATATCCCGGCCCCTCTGCTTGACATTTGGTGATATATCCCGGCCCCTCTGCTTGACATTTGGTGATATATCCCGGCCCCTCTGCTTGACATTTGGTGATATATCCCGGCACCTCTGCTTGACATTTGGTGATATATCCCTGCCCATCTGCTTGACATTTGGTGATATATCCTTGCCCTCTGCTTCACATTTGGTGATATATCCCGCCCATCTGCTTGACATTTGGTGATATATCCCGGCCCCTCTGCTTGACATTTGGTGATATATCCCGGCCCATCTGCTTGACATTTGGTGATATATCCCGGCCCCTCTGCTTGACATTTGGTGATATATCCCGGCCCCTCTGCTTGACATTTGGTGATATATCCCGGCCCCTCTGTTTCACATTTGGTGATATATCCCTGCCCCTCTGCTTGACATTTGGTGATATATCCCGGCCCCTCTGCTTCGCTGTTTCGCCTAGAGGGCTCTGTGTCTGAATGTACTATATAGATAGAGATTTAATGTTTTGCAGATGTGTAATGTCTTTTTTGTACCCTCATGTTCGCTTAGTAGAATGTCATAAATTCTGATTCTTGCCTTTGTTTATATTAAATGTTTTGGTCATTGTCTTTATTTTCAAATCTAAATGTGTCTGCACACAGTGATTCACAACTGTAGAAAAGTCATCCATATAAGGGCACTATCCACACCTAACCTTCTCATCCATGTTGCTAAGTCTGAAATTGATTGAAAATATACTTTGTTACATCGAAACACCCACCTATTCAATATTTTCGATAAAATTTAAGAAAAGGTGTACAGAAAATTCCGATCACTGCATATTCCAAATTTCCGATCACTGAATTCTGTGTCCACTGTAATCCCGCGATCACTTCACTGAATACATTTTGTACAATACCTTCTTCAATTTTCACCTGAATGACTTCCTCTTTTCACAGAAGCTACTGTTGGTGATAATCTTTAACTGTGTATGTCATGCATAAGAAAAATGAAATTATATTTCAAATAAACTTAGTATTTGTCTACGTGAAAAGGTATGTTCCGCCGATAATCGCTGATTGCTTTCTTCATGTTTAACCTAGCAACTTAAAACTTTCTATAAATAACCATCAGAACCTTCGCACTCGTGAAATGTTAATATTTTAATGATATTGTTCGTCTTTCACAAATGGTGACTAGATATTTAACACCGAACTTACATTTACCGTCAAAACAAGCACGCGATCACTGCAAACACAGGCGGACAGTCACCCTATCACTGCACCTCTGCAGGACAGTGGTTCCAGGGGGTGATATTGAGTTGATCGGAGCGTCTTATCTTAATGCTAGAGGAACGTCCACAAGGATGTTCTGGTCGACTTGACTGATGTAGATGCTGGTTGGTCCTTATAGTGAGTGAGTGAGTTAATATTTAACGTCACATCGGCAATATTGTTGGTCGTTATAGATGCGAAAGCGACAAGAATGGTGAATAGTGCTGATTAACTCCAGTGAAACGATTGGGGCATCAATTATTTCTAAAGGGTTGTTTTGACATTATGTTTTTTTATTTATGTACAATGAAACAGGAAACATAACAGTCGAATACGTATTGACACAATTGTCTAGTAAGGGTTGAACTCTTGAACTACGGGTAGCTCGATTGGAATTTTTCTGCCCCCAGGACTTCAAGTATCGAGGTAAGACGGGGACGCTTACTGGACAAAGCGCAGGTGCCTTACATGGCAGTCCTGGGTTCTATTCTGTTGTATGGGTACAATGTGTGAACCTCGTTTCCTGTGCCCCCCACCGCGCTTTTACTAGATATGCTGAAAGCGGCATAAAACAAAATTCACTCCTTCGCAGCAAGGGTTCAGTATATACTTGCTTGACTTTCAACACATTTTCTTCATGAAACTTGTTTAATCAAAGCACCCTCAGGGAGATTATATACATCATTACGAGCTTAAAACATTGCATCAAGATGTGTAGAGGTAGAGAGCATTGAGAAATGTTTCGTTGGGATTCAGGGAAAGAATATCTGTCCATGCAACCTTTGGTAGGATTTAATAAACAGAAAACGAACAAGCACATAACATCCGTAAACTCAGTTTAGCTAGCGTGAAAACCCACTTTCTCCTCCCGCAAATCGATTCTGAAGGCGCTTATTGTTCCAGAAGTCTGAGAAAAATAAATGTGTATTTTAGTTCATGATTTATTTACCGGAAATACCACAAAACATGCAACGTGATCACCCAGACACGCCCACTGGCTGCGTAATCGATGTTGTGGGTTTAGTTAATCGATACAATACGGGTCACTGACAGCGACTACAGCACTAGGTCGAAGGTGTTTACATTCGTTACAAGTCACGTGTGTGATCCACAGGCCCGTGATTAACACTGATGGCACACAGATCAGTAGCTCCTTGCGAAGGTGGGGCGGTGGGGCGGTGGGGTAGATTAGTGGTTAAGGTGTTCGCTCGTCACGCCGAAGATCCAGGTTCGATTCTCCACTTTGACATAATGTGTGAAGCCCATTTCTGGTGTCCCCGTCGTGATATTGCTGGAATATTGCTAAAAGCGGCGTAAAATCTAAACCTCACTTACTCACTCCTGGCGAAGGTGATCCAGAATTGATATAATCAATGTCTCCGGAAAGTTTTGATTAAAAAATAAACAAATATACTGATGTATTGAATACTGCTGGGTGAGGTTACATCACAACACATAACATTGACAAAAAGTAACCATCATCAAAAATACCTCCACACATCAAATGATTTAGTTTGAGATACGCATCATCTGGCTGTTGTTTAGCATCTGCCCCATCCGTACAACTTCGACCTGAACAGAATACAATTTTGGACCAGATCTAGACAATCCAGTGGTTGATATAGTGAGCACCAATCAACGACGTCGGCGCACGGTGACACGCAAAAAACAATGTCAACGAGACTGACCACCCAGACCCTGATACATACAGTGCGTCAACCGGATTAATTAAAGGGACCCTCCCAACAGTGCTGATTTGAGAGACCTGGCAAGTGTCGAAGGTGACACAGCCAGTCATGCTGGTTATTATATCTTTTGATACGCACAATGCATTCATTCGCAACTACGGCTTCGTTTTCAGTCCGATTGAAAGACATGGCGCTAAAAATGACCACCCAGTCAAACTACTCTCAAGGACGAGAGGAAATCTGAGCTTAGTGATTGGTGTGATGGAGATGACGTCATTTCTAAAACGAATCTCGTAATGAACGGTCCAGGGTACTTATGATCATACGGTGGAGTTATAATGCCGTGGATCACTAAGGATGATATAGCGACAGGTTCATGTATACTGAGATGCTATAGGAAACAAATCTAAATTTCCGGTCGATCATGATGCTATTTTCTATTTCTCAGCTCGCTGTCCAGATAACGCTGGCTACGTGATGCACCGGTCACCAGTCCTGTGTTACAAGGTCCATATGGAGAAACAGACGTACGATCAGGCCAAGGTCACGTGCCAGACAGAGGGCGCCACCCTCCTCAAGGTCAAGGACGCAGATATATCATTCCACATGTTCGAGTTCCTCAGAGCCTCATCAGGTAGGCCTTGATCCTCATGTCAAAATATATTCAACCGTCAAATTAAAAATAGTATTTCGTCACTGCCAGTTATTAAGAGTAGGTAACTCCCTCCTTAAAGAAATTAAGTGAAGATCTTTATCTTTCTTCAAATATCGTAAACAGTATAAACTTAGCATCAAATGATGCCGTTGAAGTTTGTGTTCTTGGCATACAGGTCCTCGATCTGTATATTTAAATTTCTAATCAGATTGACCCGTGAAGATCCGGTTAAACGTGAGATTCACTAACCCATGCTTGTCGTAAGAGGCGACTAACGGGATTGGGTGGTCAGATTCGCTGACTTGGTTGACACATGTCATCGGTTCCCAATTGCATGGATCAGGCGCGTAGCAAGCCATTTTTTTCTTGTAAGCCTGATAGGTTACAAAGGTTCATATTTCGATAGTATTTAGGGCTTGCCCAGCCTTTTTAGCAACAATCGTGTAAGCCCAGGCTTTTTTTAAATTATGGTAGCTACGCTCCTGTAGATCGATGCTCATGCTGTTGATCACTGGAGTCAGTATGCTGTGTCTGAGTGGGGTATACATGCGGCCCTTTTAGTCTAGTGGATAAAGCTATCGTTCGTTAGCCTCAAAACCGGGTTTGATTCCCCATGTGAGTTGTGTGCATGTAGCCTATCTCTTTTGTCTTCGTCGTGTTTTTTGTTAACTATTTCTAAGCTGTAATTACTCAAACATTATTTACTCTCTTACTGTTACAGACGTTCGTGAGACTCACTTCATGATTGGCGCCGACGACCTTGACGTTCAAGGTCAGTACAAGTGGGGAGACGGCGACGTTGCTACGTGGACCAACTGGGCGTCAACCGAACCGAGCTCCCCCACAGAGCGGTGTCTCGCTATAGCCTGGTTCTTCTACTTCAAGTGGAACGACATCCCCTGTACGGAGTTGATGAGCTTCATCTGTCAGATCGACTCTGTCATCTAGGTCCGGCTGATCCACGGGTCGGGCAAACTCAGCAGACATGTTTAGGAACAAATTTTAATTCAGTCGGAGTGTGACATGTTTTGACTATTATGTGACGGCTCCTACGTCACACCACACCAACCCAACACTCACACACGCGCACGCACGCACGCACGCACGCACACACACAAAGAATATTACATTGCCAGTCAGAATTATGACACGATGTGTTTTAAGTCATGTCTTACAGATATTATGCGGGGTAGAATATTGTAAACAGTATAAACTTACCATCAAACGACTTGGCAAAGAGGTCCTCGATCTGTATATTTAAATTTCTAATCAGATTGACCCGTGAAGATCCGGGTTAAACTTGATATTCAGTAACCCATGCTTGTCGTAAGAGGCGACTAACGGGATCGGGTAGTCAGACTGACGCATGTCATCGGTTCCCAAATGCGTAGATAGATGCGCGTGCTGTTGATCACTGGATTGTCTGGTCCAGACTCGATTATGTACAGACCGTCGCCATATACGTGGAAGATAGCTGAGTATGGCGTTTAACGACAATTCAGCTAACAAACCAAGATAATATCGGGAATATATATATTTAGGTTAGTGCTCCAAAGAAATATATGATTTACCATTATATATATTTATTTAACCATTCGCCAATCTTTCTTTAATTCTTTTGCATTAGGTTCCTGAGAGCTTACAACACTTAATTGTGGATATTGCTGTACAAAATATTTATTTTGAATGTATGGTCTTTTGTCGTTGTTCACTTCTAGTCAGACTGCTGTGTTTTCAATGTCAGCTTCATATGTATCCCATAGACTCGATGACTTGAATTTATCTTAAATTCGAACGCACGCCGTGATGTTCTATGTTACACTTTGCATATACCCTGCAAAGTTCGTTGTCGAACGTAATGGAGAAATGTTGCTCGACCTGTCTTCATCCATCCCAGCATACCACTGGCTGGTCACAGGGAACGGGTAGGATGTCACATTACCCCAGCGTTCCCGTGACTTAAAGGTGGATCGGGTGGGCACAATGACAGTTCGGTGTGGTCAGTTGTGTGACGTTTGATCTGGATTCTAAAGAGCGTCGCCGCAAGCCTCCATGATCCGCTGATCGAGGTTCCACTCCATGATGGGCCTTCGCAGTTATGAAAGGCGCCGTACTGTATAGAGTTTAATTCCTTAGTTTCTAGAATATCCCAGTCGATTTCAAGAGATTACAGTCCTTGTGAATTTCATGAATCCCCGACGGTGCGTGAGAGAATCGTCCACCCCAATCAATGCTACTAGCGGGATGCATTTCATCCATAAAATAACATGCCCCAGGAAGATGTAACCTATGAGGATCCGGGTCAGATGCAACCCATCAGGATCCGGGTCAGAAGCAACCCATGAGGATCCGGGTCAGATGCAACCCATGAGGATCCCGGTCAGAAGCAACCCATGAGGATCCGGGTCAGATGCAACCCATGAGGATCCGGGTCAGAAGCAACCCACGAGGATCCGGGTGAGATGCAACCCATCAGGATCCGGGTCAGATGCAACCCATCAGGATCCGGGTCAGATGCAACCCATGAGGATCCGGGTCAGAAGGAACCCATGAGGATCCGGGTCAGATGCAACCCATCAGGATCCGGGTCAGATGCAACCCATGAGGATCCGGGTCAGAAGCAACCCATGAGGATCCGGGTCAGATGCAACCCATGAGGATCCGGGTGAGATGCAACCCATGAGGATCCGGGTCAGAAGGAACCCATGAGGATCCGAGTCAGAAGGAACCCATGAGGATCCGGGTCAGATGCAACCCATCAGGATCCGGGTCAGATGCAACCCATGAGGATCCGGGTCAGAAGCAACCCATGAGGATCCGGGTCAGAAGCAACCCATCAGGATCCAAGTCAGAAGCAACCCATCAGGATCCGGGTGAGATGCAACCCATGAGGATCCGGGTCAGAAGGAACCCATGAGGATCCGGGTCAGAAGCAACCCATCAGGATCCGGGTGAGATGCAACCCATGAGGATCCGGGTCAGAAGGAACCCATGAGGATCCAGGTCAGAAGCAACCCATCAGGATCCGGGTCAGATGCAACCCATGAGGATCCGGGTCAGAAGCAACCCATGAGGATCCGGGTCAGAAGCAACCCATGAGGATCCAAGTCAGAAGCAACCCACGAGGATCCCGGTCAGAAGCAACCCATGAGGATCCAGGTCAGAAGCAACCCATGAGGATCCGGGTCAGATGCAACCCATGAGGATCCCGGTCAGATGCAACCCATGAGGATCCGGGTGAGATGCAACCCATGAGGATCCGGGTCAGATAGAACCCATGAGGATCCGGGTCAGATGCAACCCATGAGGATCCGGGTCTGAAGCAACCCATGAGGATCCGGGTCAGATGCAACCCATCAGGATCCGGGTCAGAAGCAACCCATCAGGATCCGGGTCAGAAGCAACCCATGAGGATCCGGGTCAGATGCAACCCATCAGGATCCAGGTCAGAAGCAACCCATGAGGATCCGGGTCAGAAGGAACCCATGAGGATCCGGGTCAGAAGCAACCCATGAGGATCCGGGTCAGAAGCAACCCATGAGGATCCGGGTCAGATGCAACCCATCAGGATCCGGGTCAGAAGCAATCCATCAGGATCCGGGTCAGAAGCAACCCATGAGGATCCGGGTCAGATGCAACCCGTGCTTGTCGTAAGACCCGGGTTCGATTCCCAACATTGGTACAATTGTGTGAAACTCATTTTTGGTGTCCCCCGCCGTGATCTTACGGGAAAATTGCTAAAAGCGGCGTAAAATCATACTCACTCACAAAAGTTCTTCAAACAAGGCGGTGAATGAATGTTTAGGGCTTACTGTTCAGTTATCGTATGGTAAATGCGTGTTAGTTATATTTATTGACACCCACCCGAACAGGCTAACCTGAACACCCGGTATCATCACTCTTTGATTCACATGCTCGTGATATAGTAGGACTGACTGACTGAGTTTAGTTTTACGCCGCTTTTAGCAATATTCCAGCAACATCACGGCGGGGGACACCAGAAATGGGCTTCACACAATGTACCCCTATGGGGATTCGAACCCGGGTCTTCGGCGTGACGAGCCATCGCTTTAACCACTAGACTACCCCACCGCCCCGATATAGTAGGAAGTATGGCCTCTGCTCTATATTAGAGAACCTGTGAAGGTCCGGGCTAGAATGAACCTTTAGGAGCCCTTGCTTGTCGTAAGAGGCGACTAACGGGATCGGGTGGTCAGGCTCGCTGACTTGGTTGGCACATGTCATCGGTTCCCAATTGCGCAGGTTGATGCTCATGCTGTTGATCACTGGACTGTCTGGTCCAGACTCGATTATGTACAGACCGCCGCCATATATAGCTGGAATAGTGCTGAGTGCGGCGTAAAACTAAACTCACTCACTCTATTTAGAGATTGTGTATGATATTTTAAACTAAGGGACTTTCGTGTCTACCTAGACGATCGATAGAGGACTCTTTTGCATGTTATTTTGAGCAGTTAGAATACAGAAGGGTATTTACTATTATCGATTTATATGTATTGTACAGAAATTATTGTAACATCTAAAATAATTATATAACGTGTAATGTGTAAAAATAAAATCGTTTGCAGATCTACGAGTTTGATGTCATCCAAGAACACTATACTTGAAAACACTATACTACTCAACATATTAAAGGGATCAATTGTTGATGGTCTGCAAAATTCCTAACATATGGGTCAAGCACACTTGTTTTGACCATCACAAAACGACCGTTGCGTTGAGTGAGTGAGTGAGTGAGTGAGTGAGTTTATTTTTATGCCCCTTTTAGCAATATTCCAGCAATATCATGGCTGGGGACACCAGAAATGCTCTTTATAATTTTACCCATGTGGGGAATCGAACCCGGGTATTGGGTGTGACGAGCAAACGCTTTAACCACTCTGCAACCCCACCACCGCACGAACATTCGAACCGTGTGCCACCTTCAAACACAATGTGTTGGGATAACGCTGCTTTGTATTTGATTTACCACAACGTCAGTTGTATGCGTTAGGTGTGTCGTTGTAGTGGAGGTTGTAAACGTTGCCGCAATAAAAGATGGAAGGTGGTACTGACTGGCCGAGGTTTATAATCATTTGGGGTTCAAACTCACGACGCATTTCCTGGCACATCTAACGGTATTTTACAAGCTGTGGGATTTATTGGAATCTGTGAAAATATATTTATGTTGTTGTCGTTTGTTTGTTGTTTCAGACCGCACTCCGCACGTCCATATTCAAACTGTGAAGGATGCAGATAATCATCATTGAGACCTGAGTGAGTGAGTGAGTTTAGTTTTACGCCCTTTTCGAACCAACAGCAGATGAGTTGAATTGAACTAATAAAGAGTGAGTGAGCGAGTGACCTGGGTAATATCCCAGCAATATCACGGCGGGGCACACCAGAAAAGGGCTTCACACATTGTATACATGTGGGGAATCGAACCTAGGTCTTAGGCGTGACGAGCGAACGCTTTAACCACTAGGCTACCCCACCGCCTTTGAGGTCTGACACTTACCTAGGGTGGAAGTAGATAGATCCTGGAGACCCCTGGAAAGATATTTTCCAGCGGAAATTAATATTTTAATAATAAAGGACACACCTGTAGCAAGTGTGATTACTTTGGCAACAGTTGTTTTGATGACGTCAGTGTGAGTTAGTCGTGGATGACTGAGACAGTTTTATAACAATATCAATCACTCTGTAAATAGACATTGAAGACACAACGCTACAGGTGATAAGTTGACAGTCCGAATTAGAAGGAGGAAATTTAACACTGTTGATAATTGAAAGTAATCGCCTACAAGGAAAGATTATGCAATCAGTGTTTGTTGGAATCAATCGCGTCAATTTGCAACAAAGTTTAAGACGCTGAGAGAGAGAAAAGGATCAATTTCCGATTGTTTCACGTAAAGATGAAAATGTTTGTACAATTATTTCTCTCTTACAAAATCATGATCAATATACTATGATAATTTCGAAAGCGATATCTGTATCCTACAATTTCGCTTTGACCTCTTGAAAAATTTCCAATATTTGCCTCCCGTGATTCCATTAATACTGAAGTACTATTAATAGCTTTCGGCATTACTACTGTGTTGCACTGGTGTTCCAGGCCCTAACTGAAGTATTGTTACTGATATTGTATAAGTGTTTCATGATCTTATTAAAGTATTGGTACTATTATTGCATAGGTGTTTCATAATCCTATTGAGGTATTTC